AGATCTATTCATATTTTTTTTCTGCAGTGTGTACAAGTGTGTGTCTGTGTGTGTGTAGAAATGTGTGTGTGAATAAGTGTGGCGCATGGTGGCGCAGTGGGCAGTACAATCATCTCACAGCAAGAAGGACGCTGGTTTGAGTCCCGGCTGGGTCAGTTAGCATTTCTGTGTGGAGTTTGCATGTTCTCCCCCTGTTGGCGTGGGTTTCCTCCAGGTGCTCCGGTTTCGCCCACAGTCCAAAGACATGTGGTATAGGTGAATTGAGTAAGCTAAATTGTCCGTAGTGTAAGTGTGTGAATGGGAGTGTTTCCCAGTGATGGGTTGCAGCTGGAAGGGTATCCTCTGTGTAAAACATATGCTGGATAAATTGGCGGTTCATTCCGGAAACTAAGGGACTAAGCCAAAAGGAAAATGAATGAACTTATAAGTGTGTGTGTAGTAATGTGTGTGTAAGCGTATGTGTGGGTGAGTGTGTTAAGTGTGCTTGTGTGAGTAAAGTCTGCATGTGCGTGTAGAAATGTGTATAAGTGTGTGTATGGAACTGTGTGTATAAGTGTGTGTTTGTGTATAAGCGTTCGTGTGTGTGGGTCTATGTGTAAAGCTTGCACGTGTGTGTTGAAATGTATGAACATAAATGTGTGTGTGCATGTGTATCTGCGTGCGCATTTGTGTAAAGTGCATGTGTGTAGAAATGTATGAGCATAAATGTGTGTGTGTCTGTGTGCATCTATGTGTAAAGTGTGCATGCGTTTGTAGAAATGTGTGTTTCTGTGTGTAAAAGTGCATGTTTGTGTAGAAATGTGTGCATAGAAATATATGTGTATATAATAAGTGTGTAGATAATTATTTGTGTGTGTGTGTGGATTTACTGTAGATGCTTGTATGTGTGTGTGTGTGTACAATCGTGTGTGTGCCTATGGGTCAAAATGTGCATGTGTGTGTGCAGAAGTGTGCATTTCTGGGCAGGTGTGTGTGTAATGTGCACATATGTGTGTGCGTGCATGCATGCCTGTGTGTAGAAGTGTGCATGTGTGTGTTTTGTTCTCCTCAAATATTTGCCTGCACTCTGTGACTTAAGGATCTGTTGGCCCAAAAGCAGAAACTTCAGAGCGGAGGTGATAAAAGACAGGAAGACAGGAACAATACTAAGAAAAATGAGCTGAATGGCTTGAAAGAGCGGGAGAGACGGCAAGTGTGTGTGTGTGAGTGAGCGAGAGGGCACTCGCCATCGGTGAGTGTGTTAAGATAAATTGCTTGTGTGATTTACGAGCGCTTAGTGTGTTCGCCGTTAATTAGCCTGGTGAACCCGCATGAACTCACGGATCACGGGCTCTTTTAACTCTTTTAACACACACACACACATGCACTCGCTACCAGGAGCCCAAACGCTAATTTCAACACACACTCAAAGACATCAAAGAGCCTCTGAAGCTCCAGAAATGTGCACTGCAGTGGCCTTTAACTTGGAAATGTTGGCTTCTGGCACACCCAGACCTCCATTAAACTCTCAAATGAGCTGTAGAGGATGAAGGCTGGGAATCATTTAGATGACACTGCTCCGAGAAGAGGTGCTGACACTTTTAAACTGCTAAAGTACCATCTTTTATCTTTGATATCCACATCTGTCTCTTTCTCGGTGTGTTTGTGTGTGTTTGTGTGTGTGTGTGTGTGTGTGTGTGTGTGTGTGTGTGTGTGTGTGTGTGTGTGTGTGTGTGTGTGTGTGTGTGTGTGTGTGGTGTTGGGAAATGGGGAGTCGGAAAGAGCTGGAATCTGGGAAGGAGACAAAATTATTTATCCTTTCCTCCTTTCCATGTTGAATTTAAAGCTCCCATGAAAATGAAATGGGATGTTCTTTCTCTTTTTTGTGGCTGTTTAGTCTATTTTTTCTTAGCTGTGGGGTCATCTAGATGCTAATGCAGGCTTCAATGGCTGCGGGAAAAGGAAATTGATGCATTTATTCGGCAAGGATGCATTAAATGAAATCAATAGTGACAGAAAAGACATTTATAATACTGTTTTTAAGTTAAATTAATAGTTTTTGCTAAACGTTCTGTTTTTTCAAAGTATCCTGAAGAAGAACGTATGAGGTGTTCACACACTTCTTGAAAGTCCTAGTACTTAAAAACAAACACAGATCTTTGAAAGTGCTTAAATTTGAAATACAATTTATTTATGGTGTTATTTCTGCAATTGTACTGTGCTGCTGTCAAAAAACAGAACAAAAACAATGAGGGCTCTGTCATACACCTGGCACAATAAGGTGCATGACGTGTATGCCGTGATTTGTTGCTATTTTCAGACCTGCACAACAGTAATTTTCCCATTTTGCACCACGCTGTTTAAATAGCAAATACATTTGCACCACTTTGTGGACTCATGGGTGTGCTGGTCTGAAAAGAAGGTGTGTTAAGGCAGTAGTCCCAAACCTTTTTTTCACCGCGGACCGGTCAACGGTTGTCAATTTTACAATGGACCAGTATGGACCGGTGACCGGTTCTTCACGTGAACACAGCTACTGCGCTCGTGCATCCAGGTTAATCATAAACAACTCAGTGCGCATGCGCTAGTTGCACTATCGCGGTCTGATTATGTTTCAATCAAGGTTTAAATGCATCAAATACATCACATCTGTGCCAAACATTTCAACTGATAAACATATTAACAATAATACAACCGTATAGCCGAATTAAATGTATGCATTGGCATGTACAGCCCTAATGAGCATGATTATGTAAAACTCCATATAGATACATATTGCAATGATTTCGGGTACTTACTTAGGGATGCACGCACACATATATGCACAGTCCTTAAATGCTCTGCTGAGTTGGACTCTATAATACCTGTTTTGTAACTTTAAACTATCAACAACCACCAATGAGCTATATTTAATCGTTCTTCCCGCTCCGTGGTGGATTTTGGCATAGTCCATTTCACGTGAGATGGCGGGGGTGAGCAGAAGAAACCAAGTCGCGGGGGGAATATTTTCTACAGAAATAATTTATGATTTCTTATGTGGCCCAGTACCAATTGTTCCACGGACCGGTACCGGTCCGCAGCCCGGTGGTTGGGGACCACTGTGTTAAGGCACATCGTTGGTGCTATTTTGAGGAACTGATATAGTACCCATTGACCATTTAAAACCTGGTTTAAAAACCAAATTTTAGTTTATTCATGACAATTTGCATTTGTATAATGTTATTATTATTAATAGTAGTATTTATTATATGCATATTTATATTTGTTTTAATAAAAACAAGTTTAGATTTGTCCACCTGTCAGGTTTATAAGACGTCTGCCTCACCATATGGGGTAAAAAATCGGAAGTGTGTTTGGATATAACAGTTTTTATTACCACACTTCATTGTTATTGTTCGTTTATTCGCTTGCTGAAAATTAGAACTGAATTTAGAAATAGTTTTGAAACAAATCTTTACACTTAACAAATGAAATTAAATATGTAGGCTAATGGATGTTTTCAGTGGAGTGTGTACAACACCGTTTCCTTATCCACTAAAGTAAAGGAGTAAAGAGTAAAAGTAAAGAGAAAGTAAAGGCCGATTGGAGGAGGCTCATTCTTTATCCTCACACTGCAGATTTTCTGTTTAACTGTTTTCTTGCTAGTGAAGCGTTCAGCTTTTCCACTTACAAAGTCCGCCATGTAAATAGCAAATGAGCCATGGCGTGACAGAACTGACTCTTAAAGAGAATGTGAGATGAGACTCTTATTGGTTTAATGCATGTTATGCTCAAAACACACCCATAACTCAACAAGGACAACCTTGTTAGACCATACGCTGCGGCGCAGAGTGTATTTTTCCATCCTTAAAATAGCAAAAGTTGATTCAGGCACGCCCCTTAATGCTTTTGCGCCCTGCTCTGTAAACTTTGTGCCTAGACTGTTAAAATAAAGCCCTGAGAAATTCTTAATTTAAAAATGTTTAATGTACAATAAAAATGACAAATAATGCACATTTTATAAATATGTCCAAAAGTGAATGTGAATATTCCCAGTATTAAATTCAACAAATTTTAATAAAGTTGTTTGAACATGACTTTTTGTGTTAATCAGACATTATCAATTTAAATATTAAGTGTAAGTCAAATATGTTCTTCATGGTGCTACATATGATGTGGTATGAATAACTTAATTTTAAATTAAAGGTGCTTTTAAAAAGTCCTTGAACGTAGTTGAATCTGGTGTCCATGAAATTTTTAACATATTGTAATGATAAATGTTTTTATCATTACAATATGTTAATTTTGGGGGAGGGGGGCATCTAAACATCTTTTCAAAATAATTTCTAAGGGATCCTGATACTGAAGGCAGACACTTCAAATCATTGATGAAATCACAGCAATAAATCACATTTAATGCATATTAAAATTGAAAATGGCAAATTTTAGGTTGGGGTGGCACAGTGGCTCAGTGGTTAGCACTGTCACCTCACAGCAAGAAGGTTGCTGGTTCGAGTCCCGGCTGGGTCAGTTGGAATTTCTGTGTGGAGTTTGCATATTTTCCCTGTGTTGGCGTGGGTTTCCTTCGGGTGCTCCATTTCCCCCTCAAGTCCAAAGACATGCGCTATAAGTGAACTGAATAAACTAAATTGGCCATAGTGTATGTGTGTGAATAAGTGTGTATGGGTGTTTCCCTGTACTGGGTTGTGGCTGGAAGGGCATCCACTGCGTAAAACATGTGCCAGAATAGTTGGTGGTTCATTCAACTGTGGCGACCCTTGAGGAATAAAGGGACTAAGCCGATGGAAAATTAATGAATTTTTACGTTGTACTATTATTTCAGCATATTACTATTTTTTTATTATTATTAAATAAATACAATCTTAATGAGATTTAAGAGCCTAAAACCTACAAAAAATGTGTACCCAAAACTGAATGATTGATATTTTCACTTCTGAGCAGAAAAACAGATTGTTGGGTGTATATTTTCTGTGACGTTGGCTGATTTGAGTAATCTTATGATTTTCTGATTTCTTTCACAGGTGATGAAGGAGACAACTTCTATGTGATTGACCAAGGAGAAGTGGATGTAAGTTTAACATTTCATACCTGTTTCTACCATCAAACACAAACAAGATCATCACATCAACTCATCAAACACTTTTCATTAAAGGGATATAATAATGTTAAAGTTGCTCACTCTCAGCCCAATTCATATTTCTTTTAATTGTTGGTAAGTTACTTCAAAAAAGTAACTATTACTAAGTACTAATGAAACGTTTCAAAGTAATGACGTCGTATTTCAAAAATATTGGCGTTAAGGTTTTACTCATTTCAGTGTTTCTTAATCTTGTGCAATTGTCTGACAAAAGTAACAATGAGTATGTTTACATGGACAGCAATAATTTTAGTACGATTAAGACAATACTCTGATTAAGAGTCGACCATGTAAGCAGCAATTTTTGACGCAGTGACGTTAATCAATCTATGTTCTATAACATGTAAAATCAGGAACATTCAAAAAGCAAAGCCTTAATCATATTATTGTCTTATTCAGATGAAGGCAAATAATTTGATTACTGATGTTCATGTAAACGTAGTCGTTGTTTAGCAGCATATAGACTTTATTCAGAAATGTTACATTGATTTACAGTATTTAAAGCAAGTTCATTATAAGTAAAAATTAAACCTATGTAACTATTACGTGTGACCTAAAAATAAAAAAGTTATCTCTTACTTTACTTTTTTAGTGGAAAAGTAATTTGATTACAGTAGTTACTGTGTAACAAATTACACTAAACACTGATGCAAAAATATCCATAATAAAAACCACCAAAGACTGCAGTTTCAGCTAAAAATGTTCTTTAATAATAATATTTTCAAATATCAGCTTGTTTGGTTTCGTTTTTTTAGTAAATTCTAGGCAAACGTTCAGTTTTGGGTGAACCATCCTTCACTAATAATGCCTTCACAGTATGAGATGTGAATGTGCTCTCTTGCATACATTTTTTAATGACACACTTTAATCATTTCTTTTTCCTGCTAATATTGGAGTGCATGAATGCTTTTGTGACATTAACCCAATTAGGATTTGAAGGCTTACGAAACATCCGCACATACGATAGTAGATCTATATGATACAAATCTCACCCACTTGCCTTTTAACACTGCAACAAACTGGAACACTGACTGCCATTGTGTTGCTGTCCAAAGATGACATGGATAAAGTTCAAGTGAAATGATTGCTTTTATCTCTACAGAGAATCCATTTTCACAGTTTTGTTTTAAAGAGAAGATAAGAAGCTCTGAAAGAGATTTTCGTTGTGCATTCATATGATTTATGCAGATATTTTCCTTTTTTTTTCTTTTTATCGTCTTGGGAATCTGTAGTATTTCTCTCCCCTGCTTGTTGTTATTCTCTAGTAAATAAGATTGTTTAGTTTAAAGAGGCCTTTTCCACACTTTTTGCATTTTATTTTGCTCCCCTGAGTCCCTTTATCATGTCATCACTTGTTTTTTATGACTGCTTTCCACGCTCTCTGTGACTCTTAGAATTAAACAAGCTGTTTTTGCTACTGTTCTTGTCTCACTGTACTGTATATACTGTAAATTATCTCTTTAGAAAAGGAATAGCTAAAAAAACAAGCTGTTTAGGTTGAGCAGTATATTTGTAATATTTAAAGTTATATATCATTTGTATCATATATGTACACTACCTGACAAAAGTATTGTCGTCGATCCCAGTTGTAAGAGCAACAAATAATAAGTTTTTTGTTGGAAAAACAAATAATAATAATAATTGGAAAAGTGGCAGAAGGTCGATTTTTCTGCTGAATCATCTGTTGAACTGCATCTCAATCATCACAAATACTGCAGATGATCTATTGGAACCCACATGGACCCAAGATTCTCACAGAAATCAGTCAAGTTGGTGAAGGAAAAATCATGGTTTGGGGTCACATTCAGTATGGGGACATGCGAGATCTGCAGAGTGGATGGTAACATCAACAGCCTGAGGAATTAAGACATTTGTGCTGCCCATTACATTACAAAGCACAGGAGAGGGTAAATTCTTCAGCAGGATAGTGCTCCTACTCATACTTCAGCCTCCAAATCAAAGTTCCTGAAAGCAAAGAAGGTCAAGGTGGCCAGCCCAGTCATCAGACATGAACATTATTGAGCATGTCTGGGGTAAGATGAAGGTGGAGACATTGAAGATGAATTCTAATGGACTCTGGGAGTCCTGCAAGAACGCTTTCTTTGGCATTCCAGATGACTTTATTAATAAGTGATTTGAGTCATTATAGAGATGTATGGATGCAGTCCTTCAAGCTCATGGGAGTCATACACAATATTCATTCTTTTTCCACTGCAGCATGACTTTATATTCTATTCTGTACACTATTTCTAATAATGTTAAGTGACAACTTTTATCTAAGCATATCCAAACCTTACTGTCCTAATGAAATCATTAAAAATTTTATTTTGGTAAAATAAATGCAATCTAGAGGCGTTTGCCTTTCATATAAGCCACTTCTGATACCAAATGATCAACTAGAAGTCAAGTTATTATTTGCTGTTTCTAAAACATGGATCGGCGACAAGACTTTTGTCAGGTGGTGTATATATTTTAAATATAAATGTAAATTTTCTATTTCTGTGTATTTTTCTAATAAGGGTGTTATAAGCAATAAAAATTATGCATCCATATGTCAAAACAAACTTTTATTTGGATACATAAATAAAGATAAATTTGTTTTTGCCCAGCACTAATAATAATTTTATTGTTAATAATATTAAAAATAACAGTACTAATAATAAAAATGTTTTCTTTCTAAATATATTTTAAAATGCAATTTATTTCTGTAATTAAAACCTAAAATCTCAGCACCATTAATCTGGACTTCACTGTCACAATTCTTCATAAATCCATAAAAAAATGTATGTGTTGTACTTAAAAAATGTTATTATTATTATTATTATTATTATTATTTAACTAGTTATGATGACGATGATTACTATTATTATTATTGTTGTTGTTGTTGTTTAAAACTGTTGTTCTTTCTAATATTTCAACCATAAATAAACGTAAACCATACATTGTAAACCATGTTTAACTATAAAATAATGTAAAACATCATTTTTTAAAAAGATGTTAATGAATATGAATTAAAAAATGCAGCGTTTATTTGAAATAGAAGTCTTTTTTGACATTCTACATATTTTATAAATATTATTTAGAAATGGATTACATCTTCACCATTTAAATAATGTATTAATGCATTTAGAAAATTAAGAAAATACTAATTGTACTTACTCCAGACGAATACAATGTTGATTATGAATGTGGCTGTAGAATGATCTCATGCTTATGACATCATAACATTAATCATTATAGATTGGCTCATTTCAAGTGAAGGGATTTTTCAGTATTACTTCATAAAATAGCAAATTGTGCTTTTTATAGATCTAGAAAAACCCTATTCTTCCCACACAGACTTCATTTGATCACTGCCTTAAAAGGATAGTTTAGGCCAAAAATCACATCATTAAACCTTCACATCATTAAACCTTTATGACTTTTTTCTTCCATTAAACACAAAAGAAGATATTTTGAAGAATGCTGGCACTCATTGATTTACATAAAGTGAAAAAAACTAATACAATCGAAGTCAATAGGTGCCAGCTAAGAGCATTTTCCAAAATATATCCTATTGTGTTGGACAAAAATGTTTCATACAATATAACAAACTTGCAAAATGCAATTCTGTCAGTACTTTAGTTTATTTATGTAACAATCATGCTAAAATAAGCAGGCAAAAGTATTTTCTGAGCTAATTAAAGCAAAAAAAGGTCAAAGTGCAAACATTGAGACTTCATAACATCACGAATGACTGAAAACCTCATTGGAAATTCTGATTCTTATTGGCATTTTCAATAAGTTAGTATTTAGTATTTATTTTCAAGCTAACACCAACTACAAGAGAGGTGAGGATGAAGATAGTAAAGGCCCCATCTGATTGGTCAGATTTAGATCAAGATTAGAATGCATAGATTTAGATCTATGCATTCAAATACTTAGCACATTTAATTAACTTAAAGGATTGCACTTCGATATGGATATTGCATATACTATTATCATTCATTCATTTTCTTTTCGGCTTAGTCCCTTTATTAATCAGGGGTCGTCACAGCAAAATGAACCGCCAACTATTTCAGCGTATGTTTTACACAACGAAAGCCCTTCCAGCTGCAACCCATCACTGGGAAACACCCACACACTCTCATTTACACACATACATAACAGACAATTTAGCCTACCCAATTCACCTACAGCGGATTTGGACTTTGGGGGAAACTGGAGCACCCGGAGGAAATCAACGCCAACATGGGTAGAACATGCAAACTCCACACAGAAATGCCAACTGACCCACAATCGCCTCACAGCTCGAACCAGCGACCTTCTTGATGTGAGGTGATTGTGTAACCCACTGCGCCACCGTGACGCCCCTGTACTATTATCATGAAAACTATATATTGAGCAGCTGCAATACTTATGAGAACATCTTAAACAATTTAATTTCACAGGACCTCTAACTGTCTGTCCTTGTGTAAGTGTGTAGCGATCTGCAGTGTGAGATATCAGAGCTAATATTTCTCCTCTGCTCTGGATGTGTTTGGAGGACACGTTGAGTCAGCACCGGGTCACTGCCACATCAGAATGCTGCGAATCTAACTCTTGGTTCACAGCCAATGCTTTTGGACCAGCCGAAAACACAGAGTCCATCATGCTAGTGCTGTCAAACACACACTAAATACATGTGTACACACAATAACCAGTCTTCTTAAATGTCTACACAATTCATAAAGCTCTCAGATATATATACGCAATCACGCTGGAATGTCAAGATGCTTCAGGAACGCGACGCGATGTCTCTCATTAGCAGAGAGGATAAATCTGTTGTGACTTTGGAGAGCGTTGTATTGCATGCTAATTGAGGGAGCGCTCAGATTTGGAATTCATTAACGCGCGCAACCTTTCATTGGAAGAAACACACAGTTTTATTCAGTTCAAGGGCTAGTTTTGTC